AGCGACAGCCAATCAGAGAGGGAGTGGGCGGGGCGTTAGCGTGCCGCCTTGTCTGCGTCTGGCGGCCATCTTGAGTGTGGCCTGGAAAGGGAAAGGAGCGGTCGGACACGGCTCTTCCTCCGGGGCGGGGAAGCAATGGCCACGCCCCGCCACTCTTCTCCCCTAGCCTTGGCCCTCCGCACCCATTTTCGAGTCTCTCCCCCTCAGGGCTCTGCCCTGCTGCAGCAGGTTCTATCAGTCCCCCGTTGTTGTCTCCTTCCCCTGCAGACCCCGCTTTTCCCCTTCCCCCGCAGTGTCCTTCGCCTCAGGTAACATGGTCCGCCTGCTTCCCCCTCCCGCACACACATGCCACTCATCCCTGTCACTCCCTTCTAGGGGGACATATGCAGGAGCCCCACCCCCTCTGAGGCCCCGCCCCTGGCTCCTCCTCTTCCCCAAGGCCCCGCCCCCTCGCCTAGCTAGATGCCAGAGCCAGCTCCTGATAAGAGCTGCTAGGGAGGCCCAGCTGCTGTGGGGAGCTTTCCACTGGTCCTGCACAGAGCGTTAGGGTGCTCAAGAGTAGCCCCTGGCCTATGTTCCCATTCTGTGGGGTGTGCTGCCCAGGGCAGATGGAGGGTCTAGGACTCTGGGGCTGCCTGGGCAGCTCTTACTACTTCCCAGCTCTGGCTTCTGGCCTAGCCAGGGGCAGGGCTTTGGGTGGAAAAGACTAGTGCCACTCCTATGCCTCAGGCAGGCATGGAGTGGCACTGCAGGGAATCCAGGCAGTAGTGCAAGGGTGGCACCCTCCAGTATGCAGTGCTAACAAGAGATTTTTAGTGGATATGGGGTATTGGAAAGTCTTGGGCCTAGTCCCCCTCTCTGGGGATGGGGCTGCACACTGCTTCTTTATATGGCTTTAACAGCACAATACATATGCTAACAAACTTAAATAAACGCTTTGTTTAAGTTTGTTAGCGTATGCATTGTGCTGTTAAGTTGGTCAGGAGTACTGAAGAGGGGAGGGGTGCGGGGGATGGAAGGTGTTTAAACAGTGTTTTTGATTCTGCAAAAAGAACAGGAGTACTTGTGACACCTTAGAGCCTAACAAATTTATTTCAGCATAAGCTTTCGTGGGCTACAGCCCACTTCATCCGAAGAAGTGAGCTGTAGCCCATGGAAGCTTATGCTGAAATAAATTTGTTAGTCTCTAAGGTGCCACAAGTACTCGTTCTTTTTGCGGATACAGACTAACATGGCTGCTACTTCGAAACCTGTTTTTGATTCTGTTTCTCCCCATTGGTCTGAATTATCCATGACATCCATACTGCTTCATATCAAGTCCAAATCATTAGAGGAATGCCTCTGCTTGAACTGACCAGAGGATGTTTGGATTCTGAAGTCAGCCCAGTTCTGCAGGCTGACAGGAATCAAGTGTTGTCCCCGGTGTACACAGAATTCTTCTTTGCAGCCAAACTAGTCTAATATGCATTTTGTAAACTGGAGCAGCAAAACAAAGAAAACAAATGCCTCATTTTCCAGCTTTGTGGGTGAGAGAACTATAAGGGAGGATGATAATACTGGACACTGATGGCCTTAAGCCAGCTGCCTCAGGAATCTGCAAAGAACTTTGCTGAAAATATGTTCCTCATCTTAGCAACAGAGCTAGGACTTATCACACATCTGCCCACCTTTATTTGAATGAAGCTCCTGATCTGACAGTTCAGGCATTGTCAGTTTCATCCAGAACAATTTCAGTTTACAAACTTGGAGCCTAATCCTGTAAACCCTTAATCATTTGATCAGTCCTATTGAAGACAATGGGACTACTTGCATGACTATGGACCACTTTTGTAGTAAGTGTTTCGGGAGTATGTTCTGTTCCTATAAAGGAAGTGGAATCTCCCATTGAAATGCAACGTTTGGGTACAATACCATAATGTAGTTTAGGATACAGTTCTACTTAAAATTTGTCTTTTAATAAGTCATACATATGCTGAAATGGCTCCTCACCCAACTCCCATATTCTATAAAAACAGACTGAAATACTACATATCTGGGGGGAAGGTGAGTAGTTAAGATGTTTGAATATACAAATACCCATTTCGTCACTGTACTGGAAAACATAGCTGAATTTAATTTTCTATGGAATTTGAAGAAAGTTTAACAGTCCCAATTATTTTCTGTGTTAATCACTCAGTGTGTATCTGAAATAATTACATGCCTTCTAAGAGAAAAGAATCAGTCCACACTTACTGAAAAAAAAATGCCTTCCAACTGGTGTTCAGAAGAGTGCTACAAGACATACATAACCTCATGAGCAGAGGGCAGAGAGGCTACCTCCCACATTATGACAAATAATAATAATAATCTCAAAGAGGCAGAGGTTCACAGATTTGCAAACCTAAAAGCCTGTATTATTCTTTACACCATCTCAGCACATACCAGGTTTATGAACATTAAAAAGTTAACTGCAAAGGAACACTGAAGTCCATTGACCTTAATGTGTGCCAGTCAGTATGCCCTCACTGACGAAAGGAGCAGTCACACCTGAACAGCTAAAAATTAACCTTGCCCTTTTAGGCTAAATGGAGTCATGTCACTGGCTCCATCTCTGTTACATAACAGATAACAAAACTCCAGTGAGGCATGGTGATGGCACATAAGATCTCAGGTACACGGTGTGATTTTTCAGAATTTCTTTTGGGAATAGTCATGTACGTGAAATAGCTGCTACTTATGATTATACTATTTCTATGCATGTATATTCATCTTGGTATCTGAAGTTATGAATATTAGCTATGTTTACTACATGTTTGCTTGCTCGTGTGGTAATGCCCACAAAGTATTTAGCCAGCACATGAAGGGACAAGTCAAGTTGAATGGATGCTGGAAAACGCCTGTCTACACTTAATGGACTTTTTTTTTAATGTTCTAACTAGAATATGGGTGGGGGTGATGGACATTAACTTGCTCATGTGACTCCAAACACCATCTTCACAGTGAGAACAGATTTCCCTTTACCTGGCAGAAGCTAAAAGGCCCTGGCTTTGAAACATCTCCATTTTGCCTCTTTCCTTCTCCAGCCTCTGGACTATGAACATATACTAATGGGAGCATTCTAACCAAGGGACTGAGGACTTTAAGGTAATCTGGAGCCTTCATATTTCCTTGATCCTTTGCAGATGGACTTATGAGCTGGATATGGTACAGAGACTGTTCTAGCCTCATTGATTGCCGATTTCTCCCCTTGCAATGGACAAAGATCAGATGTCTGATGACTTTCTCACGAGTCAGCAGCCTTTGATACCTGTGGTATAAGCAACATAGCCCTTGCGTGAGTGTTTTTTTCTTTCCTTTCCAAATATCAAAGCCTGTTCCCATTGAACTCAATAGCAAAACTCCTTTTGATTTCAATGGGAACAGGATTTCGGCCCAAGAGATCAGAGAATGTGATTTTGATCAATTGCTTCTCTCTCTGGAGACAGTTCTCATGCACGTTCTGCCAGGCTGATTTTGAGTGCCGCTCCTGTATGTCATGCTGAAGAAAATAATAAAACAATTTAGGCTGTAGTTCTATCAAGATGTAGATGGCACACACAGTTCTATGCCTCTTTTCCATCAAACCCAGATGCCGCAGTAGCTTTGCTTTCCTAGTGCCTGGCAGAGAGCAATACTTAGATAAAGGCAAGATGGCAGAAGCTTAGTTTGGACATAAGGGAGGCACTGATAGTGTGTTAAGGGAAAGTGGGGTGATTGTCCTTCCTATCCTTCTTTCATTTAAGAAGCTTTTAATTTGTGGTGCTGCTGGATCCTCAATGACACCTGGGAGTACTGGTGGCACCAGGGGCCCAAAGCATCATTTTACAACTGCATCTGTTCAAAAGATGCAGTTGTAAAATTTTAGACAGGTAAGGGGGATGTCGGAGGGGACAGGGAGAGTGTGGGGGCCCAGGGCTGGGAGGAATCACATGGCGGGTCATTTGGGAAGGTCTTGTGTCCAC